ACTTGGCAGGCAGGTAGAGCTGTAAAGGCTTGCTACAGGCTTCACTCCACACTATTATGGTGGTTTGTTCTTAGGCAATTACAGCCTTACCTTTCTGATTTATCTGCCGCTGCAGTTTGTCCCTTCCAGTCTAAGGTGTTCTGTGGAGCCAGAATCTTGGAGAAAATGTTCTATTGCTGTATCCCAGCATGCTGCAACGTCAGCTTTGTGCAGGGCCAGTCACAACCTGCTACCTGTGATTGTCCATGGGGATCCTATCCCACCAGATCTTTAAATTGACTGGGAGCTTCCACTTTGTCCATCCCATTGACTGTGAAGCTTTAAGCCTTAGACACATCCTTAAGCAGAGGGAAACCATCCTTTGATCATCACAGTACCAGAGGAGATGGCAAAGCACTGCCCAAGCCTTTGGATTACAGCCTGGGAGCTACAGAAGTGAGTGCTTAGCTCACAGGTCTCCCATCACCTTATTAGCCCTTAAATTGCCAGAAAAGCAGTGAGCAAAGCCTGAGTGAGTTTGGAGTGGGGTCAGTAAAGACCTGTGCTCTGGGAAGGCACTGACTGGCTTGTGCCTTAAAGGGTGACCTTTTCTCAAGCATTGGTGAGCTCAGTAGAAATTGGTGGTCCTGTGGTCTGGCAGGAATCCTGGAGTGAGCTGTAAGTGATTGACATGCCTGCCCCAGGTCTGAGTTGCCAGAGCTCCTCAGGGCAGGGCATGGTGCATAGGCAGTTTCTACCAACCTTAAGGATGGTGGTGTTGGGCATCCAGGCTTCCTACTTGCTGTAGCTACACTGGAGACAGGCACTCCAGAGCAAACTCTTTCATTGTTTTTCTTCCCTTAGAAAGCTGCCTGGAGGTGCTGGAGATCCGATTCCCCAGGGAACCTTTGCACACTGCGTTCCTGCTGCCGGTGCTCAAGGCGTCCAAGTCCCTCCAGCAGCTGTCCCTTGACAGTGCCACCCTGCCCTGCCCCCAGGAGCTGGGGCTCCTTTTGGAGGTGCTCAAAGGTACTCTGCTCACCCATAGGCAGCATCATGGGGCACACACACTGTAGCTTCCATGCTGTGGTCTTCCATCCTCTAGCATGAAGCAGCTTAGGTCGGTCCATCTGTTCAGTGCGGACATCCTTGAAGTCTCCCGAGAAAAGGAAATGGGTGTCAGGCATCCCATGTGCTGTGTTATGTGGGTAATCCTGCACAGCACAATGATTCCTTTTTAATTATCCACAATCCAGCGCAAATTACCCACAGTCTTAAGTCAGTTTCTGGGTGTTAGCTGGTAGCTGGGTCAGGCTCTTTTTATCCCAGAGATGTGCAGTGCTTTACCTGAGAACTTGTTTTGCTTTTAGAGTGTACTCCAAATTTGAAGAAACTGAGCTTTCATGATGTGAATCTGGCTGAGCACCAGAAAGAAGTTCTGCTTCTGCTTCAGGATACTGGCCTACAAGGTACAGCCAGCTCCTGGGTGCTATTGCTTGGAAAGGTGCTGTGAATGGCTGCTTTTGGCTGGCTGGCATTTAAGAGGGGATCTTTGGGTGTGTAAGGTTTAGCCAAACATCACAGACATTTGGAGCAGATCTGCAGGTGTTGTCAGAGTGGGAACATGCCTGTCTTTGTGCCAGTAGAGCAGAGGAGCTGCTGGCAAATCCTGCAGGGAAGTGTTTGCAGTCTCATCTGTAAAACAATTTCTAACCTGCAGAGCACATCAGCCTTTAACTGGGTGAGCTGGCAGAGCCACTTGCCTGGGTGTGATCTGGCTCTCCTCCTGACACAGCAGAAGTGCTGTTATATGCAATCCACTGCTGGGGGAGCTTGGGTCCTGCATGTGGATTAGGGGCTGGAGCTGTCTGCAGAATGCAGTTATGGAATATTGAAGCACAGAGAGTACTCATGTACTGTAAATCCATTTCTTCACAGAAATCACCTTTTCCTTCTGCCGGCTGTTTGAAAGTTCTACTGCTGAGTTTTTGTCAGAAATAATCAATACAGTGAAAAGAAATTCATCACTCAAGAGCCTCAAGCTGCCTGGGAACCGCCTTGGTACGTACACTGTGTGTGGCTGTGGGGCCTTAGAGCAGCTCTCTGCAGGGAACTCTGGGGCTGGAGTCAGCACCACTGAAAGCTGCTGACTCTAGTGCTGAACTTACCCTCTGCAGGAACGCTGGGATTTAGTGCACCAAATAAGGAGCACTGGATCCATTTTTAAAGGCAGAATTTCAGTTGCATTCAGCAGCGTACCAAGGTACTGTGCAGGAATTATGGCTGCTTTTCTCTGCAGCAAATGCAAGTTCCAGCAGATCTCCAGATTTGACTGAACACTGATCTGCTTCAGACTTTACAGGAGCAGATCCAGCATCACATGCACTGCCTCTGATTCAGAGGCACAGATTTTGCCCAAGTTTGGGCAGTTTGTATCTCAACAGCTGTTGGCAGCCACTGGAGGGATGAACAAGTAAAGGAGGATTTAAGTCCAAGAATTGGAACTGAATTTACAGAAGTGATAGGCTTTTTGAATCACAGGCCAAGTAGAAATGTTTGAGAAATTAATTGCAGATAGATCCAGAATATTGTTTTCTGTTATTTTAACAAAGTAAAACAGGAAAGCTTGGGATAACCTGAATACACTTAATTTCTAAAACAAAGCTGCATCTGGACTTCTCAAACAAAACTATGATTTTTCTAGGGAAACAAACTACCCTATCAGCAAATGTTTTCATTGCCTCAAACATTGTGCTCAGGGGGATGAACTCACTTGATGTCACTGAGGGGGACACACTGAGGGTCCAGAGGTGGGCTCTTTGTATTGCATTCATGTGCTTACAGACTCCTTTTCTGCACTATTATCCCAGCCCTATGACAATTTAAATGTTAAGATCATTTCCAATTTGCATCTAATAGTGCATTTCTCCCTTTCAGGCAATCACAGGCTGGTTGCCCTTGCAGACATTTTCTCTGAAGATTCCTCCTCTTCTCTCTGCCAGCTGGATGTCAGGTATTCTGCTTCTCTAAACACTGAATTCCTTGTTTTGGGAGGGAGAGAGCTGAACTGGGCTCTGACAGCAGGAGAACCTGAGTATGGCTTTGTTCCTTGAGAGAATGTGTGCCCAGGAAAAGCTGAGAATGCTGCAGTGGGCACATACACCCTTAGAGACCGCCAGGACCTCTGAGACATTTCACCTTAGGAGTCAAGCTCCATCTCTAAAGCAGCTTTGATTTGCTGCTCCCTTGGGAGCTTCCTGAGCTGTAGGTTGGGACTAACATCCCTTCTTTTATTCTTAGGCATCAGTGTGAACAGCTCTGTTCCCACTGCCCCTTCATAGCAAGAGAATGTTGTCACTGTTCCTGGCACATCCTCAGAATGCCTCTGCATTCCTTTCCTGGGTCTTCAGTCAGAACTGCTGCTCTCTTCTTGACCCAGTGGCCTTACAGATAGGCAGCAACCTTCATGAAGTACATGGGGGTGGCATTTCTGCAATACTAACAGCTGCTTTGCTTGATTCTGCCCCCTCTTTACATCCTCATGGCTCAGGTTGCTCAAAGTACATAGGCTTGACAATTTATTCACCCATGGCCACACTCCTTCAGCAGGCTTGAAGCCTGATTGTTACTGCACCTCTGACAAGGTTTAAATCCAGCATGCAACTTGATATTTATTTACAGATCTCTACATGGGAATTGACCTTTTAATCTCCTAGAAATAACAGGATCTGACACATGCCCTTCAGGTTTTCTCAGCAGGAAGAGATAATGATCACTTACTGCTGAGTCTTGCACTGGGACCTGTAGGTTGGGCCAGGTCCCTTGGTCCAGAGAGTTGACAGCTGCAACATTTTAAGGCCAGAGCTAGGTGTGCTTAAATCAGTAGTAAGAGGTCTGGATAATGAGTTTAACTTGGTAGTTGTTACCACTGTGGTTTAAAAAGGTTTCCAGCCCTTCATACTCAGTTTTGTTTTTCATGAGAAACACTTAGATTTTGTACTGCTGAAAAAGGTGCAGCTGGCCTTGAAACCTCCTCAGGTACCTGCAGTAGCATTTACTAGAAGGAACGGTAATTTAAATTGCTTGAATTATAGCCTAAACTCTTAATGTTTATTTTTTTCTTTTTCTTCTTTCCCTGGAAAGCTCAAATTGCATCAAACCTGATGGGCTCCTGGAGTTCACCAAGAAGCTGGAAGGCCACATCCAGCAGAGAGGGGGACAGCTTCCATTCACACAGCTCCGCCTGTTCCAGAACTGGCTGGACCAGGATGCAGAGACAGCGCAGGAGGCGCTGCGGCGCCTCAGAGCCCTGTGCAGTGTGGTCAACGACGCCTGGGACTCCTCCCAGGCCTTCGCTGACTACATCAGTGTCATGTAGGACACAGGAGCAGGGGAAATCCATCACCACCTCCTTTCACAGCACAGCTGGGGGTTCTTGCCCCGTTCAAGCAGCACAGAGTTGTTCTTTTCTCTCTGCTGTTCATTTGAAGGGGTGTGACACTGCCATGACACACCAGAGCACGTGGGCCAACTGCTGTATTTCCAGGGACATACATCAAATGAGCTTCTGAACAAACAGCTGTTCACATCACTGGGTGTGGTGACAAATTTCATGTTGTTTCAGCTAATGTCTCACCAATAACCATCTCCAGCATGGGAGAGACTCAAAAGCCATCAGGTTGTGGTCCTTGGCAACCAGGTCTAGGTGCTCTTGTTTCTGAGGAGAGGTATTGGACAGTATCACCTCACATCCCTTCCACCTTCTTCATTCTGTGGTCTGTGAAGTAGGAACTCCTCCCTCCACTAAAGGGAGGAGAAAACAAGCTAACAAAGCCCCCAGGCTTGACCTTTTTCCACTTGGAAAGTTGTACTTTACACCAAAAACTTCTTTCTGTACCAAATAGCTTGCTGTTTATTTGCAATCACACTGCCCTTTTCCAGTGTCTGCAGTCATTTTACAGAGGTTTTGAATAGTATGTTATTTTGTAACATTTTTGTAATAAAATTATAATTAAGAATCATAATGTACCAAAGTGAATTTTATTACTGTCATGTAATGTGATCTCATTAAAACACTGCTAGATCAGGGGATCCTGCCCATAACAAAGCAAGTGGTTTTAGAAATGGAGTTACTGGAATAGAGCCTGATTTCCTACTGCTTTCATGATCTTTTTCAGGCCAGATGTTCAACATATGAGGTAAATTTTTTCCCCCCTGTACAAAATCCTCCTCTTCCCAAGTAATCAGCAAGTTTGACATTTCACAGCAAAAATGGATCCTGCAAGTTTTGATCAGCAACTGTAAGCCAGAGCTGTCAAAGAAAAAAACCTGACTGCACATCAAGTGCTATAAAACTCCTGGCTCAACTTAAACCTGAAGACAAAATCTGGCTGAGTAGAAGGCACAAACACCAAAGGCAGGAGAACCAGTGCTAAATCTGATCAAGCATGCAAGGTCCCATTATTCCCAGTTCCCAAGGGGCTGTTTTTCAGGCACACAATTCAACAGCAAATAAAAAGCCATGGACTCTTTGCTGCAGCAGACTGAACACTGCCAAGGGCCTTTGCAGCCACACTGTTCTGTATCCCACAGCCACACAACAGTCCAGCATGCAGAGCTGCCCACTGCCCCTTTCCTTGAAAGGGATCAGAGTGGGGCAGGCTGCCACAGAGCCTGCCCTTGCCCCCATGGGGGACAGTAACCTGTCAGGGAATCCCTCGCTGCTCCTCATGGGAGTGGTGATGGAAGGTGAAGGTGACAGCAGCGTCCCAAGCCGCCCTCAGCACGGGGTCCTGCAGGCCGCGCCTGTCCGCGCAGTGCTGCCACTGCGACAGGTCCGAGGTGCAGTCGGAGCCATCGGGAGGGGGCCGCACCTGGTGCCCGTTCACACAGCGCCGACACTTGATCCTGCCAAGGTCACAGCAACATCAGTGCAAGGCTCCTCTGCTGCTTCTGCCTGAGGGCTGCTCAAAACTGCAGCCCAGAACATGAGGACTAACTCCCCTGGATTTTCAGTTTCTGAATTACTACTGCATAACTACCTTCTGATGTATGTGTGACAGGTAAGGAATGACTCACACATTTTGAAAATATGGGAGTTCTGTTGCCAGTGGCAGTCCCTCTTCATGTTTAACCATTTGGGAATGGTCCAGCAAGACTGAGGAAGTTCAGGAGGAGTTTCCCTTGAAAGGTGTGGGATGTTGCTTAAGGCAGATCTCAAGCGACTGCTGCTAACTTGCATCAGGACTCCTAAATTCAAAGAGCACACCATGCTCCAAAACACTCCATCCTGGCTCCCACCACAGCCACCAGGTTGTGCTCAGGCTGTTTTGGAGATGCCCCACTGAGCTGTCACTTAAGGAGACAAAGAGCAGCAGCAGCCAGGCCAGCAAGGGCTGTTGCCATGCAGAATGGATACCTACACTGAGCTAAGCCTTGATACAGCTTAAAACTAATCCTCTTCACTTCTTGCCTGAATTAAGAGTCTTAATTTTCACAGTGAAGCGTTTTCCCTGTACTCCCTGTCCTCTTTCTGGTGGCTGTAATACCACAGGTCTCTGGGCTGGGAGAGAAGGGCAGACAATGGAGAAGAGTATTCTTTTAGTTGCCAGAATAGCACCTGGACTGGCTCCATGAATTCTTAGCCAATGGAGAAGCCCTAGTATGGAAGCAGCTCAGCATTTGTTCACCAGGAGGAGAGCAGTAAGGAACAACCAAGTTAGGCTCCACCTTGAACAGCTCTCATCAGTTTTTCTCTTTTCATTAGCTGCAGTATTTCAGTCTCCAAAACAGGTAGCTACAAGGTAGTTTGCTCACTTACCCAGCCAGCACAGCTTTTCTAGATAGTAAAAAGGGAGGACAGCAAGGAAGTGCTCATGTCTAGGTGGTTAACAGCTTCAGAAGCAGAAACACTTGAGGCTTACTCTCTGGACATCTTCCTGCTGCCTGGGAGATCTCTGAATTACACAACCAAACTTCTGCTATCCCAGCCATGAGTCATTCAGAATACTCACTTGTCATGGGTGTCACTGGTGGTGGTCTCATTCAGTGTGAAGAGCTCCTTCAGCTCCCCAAGTGAGAAATGCCTTTCTACATCCTGCTCTTCATCCACCACGCAGCTGCTCAGGGCCTTCTTGTGGGTCTGGCGCTGGAATATCTTCTCCTCTATGGTCCCTGTCTACAGGCAAGTCAGAGATAAAGCACAGTTGAACACTGGTGTTAAAGGAGCTCTACATGGAGAAGGTGTCACAGATCAAATGGCACTAAGCTGTCAGGACCACTTAGTGCCTCACCAGTACAGGTGACAGGCAAGTTTTAGTAGCTGCACTCCAACCACATGTGTTTTGTTGCAGATCTAACTCAACTCTGCTTCTCTTTCCCTATGGCTGCAGGAGTGGATCCAGTGGAGACACAGATAAGGGAGAGGGAGAACTGCCATTCCTGGCTAAAGTTCACACACTGCACCAGAATGTGCTGACAGGAAGGAAGGGAAAGGAGCTGAGCAGCTACAGCTGCTCCCTGACAAAAAATCCCAACTACAATCTCCCCAAGAAGCAGAAACAAGGTCTAGCCCTGGGTGACACGAGCAACAGCACTATTTTCTGGTTCACCCACACACAGATCAATCACATCCTGCCTGGAGGGAGATGTCTGCTTCCAGAACAGATGTGCAGAAAAGCCCAGCATGCTGTATTTCTAAGGTAAAAATCTAAGAGCAAAATGTCTGTTTTGCAAACAAATGTAACACCAAGGAGGGGGGTAATTAGTCATGATTTGCAGACTGATTTCCTATTTCTAAAAGCAAAGGAGCTCCCTGCTTCCAAGTGCAGCAAGGTCAGAGAAGAACTCCATTAAGAAAAGATGGGCAAAGAAGGTCTGTTTTCTCAAAGTAAAAATAGTAATTGACCAAGGAACTAAGCTTATACAATAAATCCCCAAACAAAACAAAAAACCACACACATTAAAACCACCCAACAACTTCCCCCTTACCCCCAGCAAAACAAAAATCCCAACAGTCTGAACTAAGAAGAGGTGAACAAGGGCACAGGAGACACTTTGAAACACCAAACACTACTGGCACTGCTGGACCAAGTGTTAGAGTAGTCCGAAAAGAGCAGTCTCCTTCATGGTCTTCTTCTACAGAGCAGCTATCCCATCTGCTCACTGGCAGCTCCATCCCAAATGCTGCTGGTAATTCCAGGAACATATTTGCTATTTCTAAAGTACACGTACACCCAACTAAAACAGACTGCAGCCTGACTGAAAAACAGCAACTTCTGCATCAGACACCCCATGAAATTAAAGAAGTCAGATGCCTAAATGACTTCAAAGGAACATCTTATCTGCAAAGCCACAGTTGTTTCTATTTCTCAGAAGCCAGCCACTGCTAGAAACCAAGGGCTGCAGTAATGACCCTCCAGCTAGAACCTTCATGGTTTTCCATGGCAACACATCTAAGGGTAGGAAGCAATTAAGTTCCAATCAATTCTGGTCACTAACACAGAAGAGTTCTCTCCCTTCTGGCCCCAGTCACAGCAGCTGCAGTCTGGGCTGGCACCCAGAGCTCCATGCTGAGGAGAGGAGTTTTCTCACCGAGAGCAGTCGGTAGATGAAGCACATCTTCTTCTGGCCGTCCCTCCACACGCGAGCCATGGCCTGCTCGTCGTTGGCTGGGTTCCAGTCAGGGTCGAACATCACCAGCCTGTTGGCCCCGATCAGGTTCAAACCACAGCCACCTGCTTTGCTGCTTAACATGAAGATGAACTCAGGGCTCTGCAAAAAGGCAGGCTTGGATTAGACTGCAGAGGCAGCCATGCTTTTAGTCCCAGTACTCAGAGCTGGCAAGAGAGTTGCTCACATCTGGCAGGTTCTACTCACCGAGGGGCTGTTGAACCGCTCCACGATCTTCGCTCGCTTTTTAATGGACATGGTGCCGTCCAGCCTCACGTACAGATACCTGCAACACACAGCATTTACTGCTATTAAAGGAGAAAATTGTCATCAGCAGCCTTGTAACAACAGAATGGGCTCTAGAAATGTTAGCAGAGGGACAGAGATTTTCTGCCGAGTGACCCCAGCAGACAAAGCACAAACTACATTGGTTCCAATTCAGGAACACCTGAGCTAAAAGACAAATCACAAGTTCCTGCTGAGAGAAAGTGTAGGAATAGCCAGTTCTTTTACAGCACAGGCAACAAGTACAGTCTAGCAGGATTAAAGCAGTGAAACCCAAAGACAAACCTTCTGCTCCGGCAGAGCTTTTCAAATAGATCCAGTGTCTGAGTGTAGTTAGACACTAAAACCACCTTGTCATTACTGGTGCTTTTGGTAACAGCAAGGATGTAATCCAAAACCAGCATCTTTCCTAGATAAAAAGGAAAAGAAAGAAAAAGTTAGAGCAAAATTCCCAAATTGCAGACCCTGGAGGGGCACTTGGTAAGGTGCTAAATACAGTCTTGGGGTTGCCTGTGTTAGGCAGCTCATCTGTACTGCTGAGTTCCACCATACCTGAAAGTTGGGGCTCCACAGATTTGGTGCTGTAGCCAGAAGGGAACAAGCCCAGGGCTCCAATAAATCCTTCTTCCTCTTCTACACACTTATCATAGATAAGAGCAGGATCTGAAGAATAAACAGAGCTCAGAGACTGTTTAGAGTGCACAAGGGAGACCCAAAAAACCTCCAGCAACAGTGCAAAACCCAAACCCATATGAACAACTCACGATTACAAAGCTTCTTCAAGGACGTGATGGAAGAGAGAGATGAAACACTGATTTTGCCCTCCTTCAGCTCCTCCACTGGCTTGGCTTGCTTCAGGAAGTTCTTGTACAGCTCAGTCTGCAGAGGTGTCAGTCTGAAACACAACAAGAGCTCTGCAGTCCCAGCCTGCAGTCCAACAAAAGCCCTGCTCCATCTCCACAGAGTGCTCCTTTCAGCTCAGTTTTTCTAGCTGTAGCACACTCAGCTTAGAACTACCCCCAATGCTGCTGGTAGAGTATTGCTATCTTCCAGAGCTGGAAGAGAAGCTTGCAGAGACTGCACAGCCCAGGACTCTGCTCTACACAGCTGCCCAGAGCTCACCAGCTGGCTGGCAGAACCACCAATACTGGGTTGTAGCTTCAGAAGGAAAAGCAACATATTGCCAATGGCTACAACATCATTCCTAGAGGGAAGCAGTGACCACAAGAATTGAAGGGATTATTGCAATTTTTCAGTCCTTCCTGTTGCTTCCATTATTTCCCAGACACAGCAGATGCTTTTTGGTACCTGCAGCAGACCACCTGTTCAATCTTCACTGGCAGGTACTTGGACAGGATGTCTGAAGTTCTCCGAATTAAACACCTGCAGGGAGAGAAATTAAAATCAGATGCTTGGATGACTCTTATGTCTGTTGACCATCTGAGGAATCATAGTGATAAAACTCTGTTTTATCACTATGATTCCTCAGATGGTCAACAGACAATCCCTCTGATATTTTCTCTCCAAAGGTCTGTGACAGTCCAACACATGACAGAGGCCAGACACTCACAGTCCACATTGTGTACAGAGCCCAATATAACCCATTGTCTTTGCAAGGCTTCCAATGTGGTTCATGAGATGTGGAGGGATCAGACATGATGCCACCTACACAGAGAGAGCTCAGTCACAAGAGAAACTCTGCTCTCCCTCAGACTACCAACAGCATTTACAATTTGAGCTACAACAGAGCAGCAGCATAGACAGCAAACAAGTACAGGGATCAACCGCCACAAACTGTGGGTATAAACCAAAGTACAGGCAGGCAACTCTCCATTTAGTAACACAGTAGCCATCCTCACCCAAGATGGGCTCATGGCTGCCCCAAGATTCCAGCAATGGACATATCCTCTGGCCTCTGGAAATGCCCCATGGAGCAGTTTTGCCACACTTCAGAAAAGGTGGAATGGACTAGAAAAAGTGCTGAGCTGAGCAACCAGAGTAAGAGGTGCAGAAACCCAGTTCTGCCAGGAAGCTTTAAAAGTCTGTTACAAAACCTATAGAAGAAAGACAGCAGGGATATATGACAACCCCAAAATCAGTCAAAGGCTGGTAAATAAAAGAATAATCTGGTCTCCGAACCCATAAGCAGCAGGATGAAAAGTAATAGGCTTAAACTGCAGTAAGGAAGATTTATGTTACACATTAAGAGCCTCTTCTAACTGCAAAGACAGCGGTGCCCTGGAAAAGGTGTCCTAGGAAAACTGCAAGGTCTTCAGTGCTGGCTGGGGGTTTAAGAGATGGGTTAGGTCTTCAGTTCTAACACCTTCTACCTTAGGACAGCAAGGCTGATTAGATGCCTTCTCCAGGGCCCTTCCAGCCTTACCTCTATGATTCCATATGTCTTTGCATCCATGGCCCTTTTGTAATTCCTACCAAATTCCACAGACTCATCTGTTACTACTTTTGAGCTTTGTCTTCCCTATTTGTGTATCATGACTGTTGCACAATAAAGTAAAGGACAAAGACCTCAACAGAGCCAGGCACAGGCATTCCTGAACACATTTTTACATCCATTCTTCATCAACTATAAAAAGAAATAAATGCACCTTGAGAAGGAATAAGCTTTTCTCCTCCCAACCTTTCCTTTTTCTTAGGCTTCTGCAAGCTGATCTGAGTCAAGGTCAGGACTGTCTCTATGGAGTGACTCTACTTAGTGTGAAATTTAATTTACCATTACTGTGAACTGCAGGATTGTATTTGTGATGGCTACAAAAAGATCAAATTAAAAAACCAAAACAAAACCAGCAATCTAAAACCATCAAATAAAACCCATAAAACAACAAACAATCAGAAAAAAACCCTGAAGACACCAGCAATGCTGAGAATTCAACAGTCTTTTCTAGAAAGTTCTTAAGGAGAGCCAAGCAATTGCCAGCAGATATGGATAAGCTGATTGTATTCATGAAGAGAAAACAAGTTTGAACAGGTAGCACAAATTAACCAAAGATAAAGACAGCATTTCACATCACAGAGGTGCTTCTTGGGATCAGAAGTCCCATCTCTGACACTTGTAGTCTATCAGCCCTACAGAGCTAACAAAACTGTGTAAGTGTGAGCTATTCTGTGACTTGGGCAATCAACAGCAGAATGGAGTGACATTCCTTATACTTTCCTTCTGCTCCCAACATCTGGGTCAGATGGATCTCAAGTCTAATCCAGCCCATATTTATAGATAACATAAATAAAAGGATACTGCCTGATTATTCAGATCCCAGGAAAAAACAAACATAGGAGTCATATAATAATCCAGTACCTGGGAGTACTGCTTGGGGGTTACTGCAGCTGGCTGTGCCATGTCAGTTCCATTTATCAGACTAAAGCTCCATTCTATGTGGATTTCTTTGGCAATAAATACTTGCACAATCACTTGCTGTATAGATGTAACAAGCAAGAGAATTCATTACAGCTACAACTGTAATTTGAAAATATAGCAGGGCTTATGCAAAGGGCTTATAGGCAAATGCTCTGCAAAGAGAAGAGGGATGAAGTTCACCTGTTCACAATACTGATTAGCTCTTTAAGCCTCTCTTCTCCCTTGTGTCGCTCAGCTTCACTTGCATCTGCATCTCTTCCTTTCAAGATGGGCATTTCAAAATGTCTTTTAAATTCCTGTGCAGTTCCTGTATAAAACAGAAGTGAAAAGGTGACAACTACTACCAAAGAATCTTTGATCAGCATCCCACAGCCAACTCAAACACTGGGCCCAGCAGATAAAACAAACCCTCATCCATCCCATCCATAAGATTGGCTTTTTTTCTCCCTAGCCAAGAAAAGACTCACACAAGGCAGACAAATCAATTTAACAGATAATCATTTTGAACTCCAACAACAGTGCAAAGCCGAAGGTCACAGAATTTTACTTAAACAGTCCCACACATACTGCTTTTGCTCACATTCCAGCTATACTTTTATTCCCAGATTTTATCCTTGCAAACAACAGCACAGGCATTATCTGTGCCTACTCCAAAATTATCTGTAATCAGTTGCTTATTACTGGCCACAGGCTGAAAGTGAGAAAAATGCCTACTGAGTGCATGCAGCTTTGCTGCAGTACTTACACCATTAACCTCATCTCAGAAAGAACGAACTGCAAGTACAGGGAGAGTAATCTTGCCCAAAGTACAGGTCAAGGGGGGCAGCTGAAAATCCCATCAGCTCCCTGTAATTACTACACAAAATTGAAGCACACAGAAAAAGCAGATGTAGAACATCTACCAGCCCATTCCATCCTTTCCTTGAGAACTCCTGGGGGAAAAACAGCTGAACAGAAAAAGATACAGCCCAAATTCTGCTTGCAAGACTAAGAATCGGATGAATTGTGTTTAACTAGAGTTAGGCATGCACTAGAATTAATGAGAAGCCTCTTGGACTGGATGCCCAACAACCTGAGACAATCATGGGAGATGAAAAAAGAAATAATTTACATTAGCACTCAGTTTCACATATTTGTTTTACCTTAACTGATTCCCCTTCCAAAACACCTGTTTGACTGGTGTAGTTTGCATTAGAATCTTGTTTAAACAGAGCCCAGATGACACATAGTCCCTAGAACAGGGCATCCTGACCTAGGCTTTCTGGATACAAACTGAAAGAGTTTGTATCCAGAGCAGTCTCATAGAATCACAGAGTTGTGTGAAGTAGAAAAGACCTTAAGAGATCATCTAGTTACAAACCCCTGACATCATTTTTCACCAACATCTCAGTTGTTGCTTTTGCTGGCATCAAGGGAAGCCTGGCCAGCACCTTCCCCTGCCTCCCATCTCCCACACATTCATCTCTTACCCAGGATGCCTGAATTGACAAAGTGCACCAGGCTGAAATACTCCAGCAGGTCATTCTGAATAGGGGTGCCTGAGATAAGGACTCGTCGAGGTGTGTTTAAGCTGTTGAGAGCCTGGTAAGTTTGGTTTTCAGAGTTCTTCAGTCTATGGCCCTGTAAAAAAACAGAGAAAAGGAATAACGCTGATAAATCCTGTAAGGAAGCAGCTTGGAGAGCCATATCAGCACTGATAAAAGGCATCTCACCACTCTTCCCATTCCTAGTAGTGGAGTAAGTGTTGCAACAAACTTGTCTTAAGGACAAGTCCCAAACCAGGAATATCCAAGCTCCACCCAGGCAAGAAAGCCTACCATGAAAACAACAATCATCACACAATATAACTTACAACTCTGAGAACTGTTTCCTGTTCTAAGATGGGAATGTTTTCAGCTACCAACACAAGCACTGAACTCTGGACTAGTAAAATTGCTTAATTCAAGGTCAAGACCACAAACCACCCACCTATACAGAGGACTGCCAGACCTGTGCACACTAATAAAAAGAGGTTCTTCACCTCTTACAGTGGTAATCTAAACACAGGCCCCATTTCTCATGCCTGGGAAAAGCAACTTTATTAGCATCTGAGTGCCGGGTAGGACAAAGCACAAGTGATGAGATGCTTTTCATGAGTGCCAGACTGCAGCAGAGGTGAGTATTTTTTGGAAATGTATAGAAGCCACAAGGCCAAGGACATGGGTTCCCAGATTTCCTAGGTGCTAGCCTCATTCCAAGGGCACTGAGAGGTGAGGGCAGTCATGGACTTGTAGATAAAACGTTTATGGGAGCTACACTCCTGAGGACACTCACTCTTTTTAAGCCCCTCTTGGCACTGCTTTGGCAAATACAAAGCCAAACCACTGGGTGGCACCCCTATTAAATAAATTCCTTCTACCCAGCAGCAGAGGATACCTCAAACCCTGCAGGTCCCAGCCTGATCGTTTCAAGGAGGCAGAGGACACCTGTTTTATTTTGTCCTTCAAAGCATCTCTGGCTCTCACTACCTATAACCACAAATAAGGAATGACAAATGAAAAAACAACTCAATTTTGGCCATGTGAAAGCAGAGCTTGACACACACCAATGCATGAAAACCAGTAAGCCAGGGCACTACCAACAGAGCCAGGCATGAACCTCCCTTCTGGTACATATTGCACATGGAGAGGGCCCTAGTAGGGACCCATCAGGGACCTACAAGTGGATGCAGTTACCACCAGCTGGATTTTCTTCATATCTTGGCTCATGAAGACACCTCTCCCATTCAGGCTCACACAGTATGGCTGATCTTACTTAGAGCCTCTGAAACACCAGAATGGGTGCTGTCGATAGCTAAGTCTTGTATCCCATTGTCCACTCTCCTTTAAGAAAGCAGATCCAGTTTCACCCAGGTGTTGAGAAAACAGCAGGAATGGATTCCCTTAAAGGTGCCCCCATACCTCATCACATATGACCAGCCCAACAGTGCCCTTCTGCAGCACCTCAGCGTGCAGTCGGAAGGTCTCATAGGAGATAATCAGGATGGGTGAAGGGACTCGCCGGCCATGCTGGTTCATAAAGCCAGCTGCAGATGGGAAGGGGAAAAAGGAAAAGAAAGACAAAAAAAAAAAAAAAAGGATGAGGAAAACTAATAGAAAACAGGTCAAATGGGCAAAACATTTGCCTTAAAAATTTATGAAAACTCTTCCACCCATATATACCCATTCTCCTTTCCCCACAACTATTCCCATTTCCATGTCCATTCTGCCTCCATTTCCTGGACTACCCCAACACCTGACTAGATTTGGATTATGGCAAAAGATCAACTATTACCAAACATGCAAGATCTAAACATGTTAGTGGAGAGGCAGCCATCAGTCTGCAGAGATCCAGTGACTGCTCAGAGATGTTCACATGAGCTGCTGCAGCCTCCTTCCAATGCAAGACTTTGACCCCAACCAGCCGAACACCCAGATTGCAAACATTTCTGTACCTAGTTTACGGTCAATCTCTTCTTTGGAGCCTCCATCAATGGCCAGTGGCTGGATCCTTCCCCCCAGCCATTTCTCTACTTCATTGTACCAGTTTCTCACCAGGCTGGAGGGAGACACCACCACGGCTTTCTCGATTTCAGGCTTGCAGTCCGGGCTTTGCCGGAGAAGCGTCCACATGAGTGTGATGCACTGCAGAGTTTTGCCCAGCCCCATTTCATCTGCCATGATGCAGCCATGGCTCCCAGGGATCCGCCGGCTCGTCACACAGTCCCAGAGGAATTTCACCCCCTGCCAAAAAATTGTTCTCTCAGAGCAGGACGGGGACATCAGCAGAGTGACAAGTTCATTACCACAATGCACAGGGCTGATAGCACAGCAAACAGCAGATCCGTGTAGCACGCACATCCCTGGGGACAGGCAGTGCTCTAATGAGACAGAGGGAAACCATCTGAGGCACAGCTAAAATGCTGCCACATCTGGAGTGAAACAGCACTACTGGTGCCAGCATGTACCTCACAACATGCACAAAATCTTGCTACATTTTTCTTCTATAATTCTAACCAGCTTCTGAACATGAATTCCCAGAAATTTCTACCCTTGGCTGCATTAGACAGGGCCTGGCCATGAACTAACATGCATCAATCATTTCAAAGAGGTTTATCATCTTAACACCACCAAATCAGGTAATTTCAAAGAATCAGAGTGAGTAGAGTTGTTTCTGCTGCCTGAATAATTCCCAGAACACCATTATCAGCCCTCATAATTTCTGCCTAGAAGCAGTGACTCACCTGGGGGCTCAAGGACCAAAGCAGATTTAGCTTTAGAGAAGACACAGGGCTGAGGTTTTAACCCATGTCACATGGTGGGAGAAGAGCTCAGCTCTGCATTAGGCCCTGACACATCGCTGAGAGAGATAAAGGGGAGGTATGGGGGGGAAGAGACAAACTTCAGAATGTTCTTGTACCATATGATGATAAGAGAGTCAAAGAAAACCAGGGCATTGTGCTGGGAATGTACAAGCTAAACACACCTGCAATGGTTCATCCTCTCTACTCCACTACTTAGGACTTGAAGATGGAGCACCTTTACCTGCACTTTCAAGTCCTTTTCTTTCTTTCTTTGACTTTTAGTAACAGGCTAATGGAATTTATTTAAGCCAGTTGAACAATTTTGAACTACATTACTGACTATAAGACTGCATTTTGCTGCAGAACCAGCATCTGGGCAAAAGTCACAACAAAGTTGGAGCAGAGCTGTACAGCTATGTAGGAGCATCAGCTGAATATAGCAGTATAGGAATCCTAGCAGGCAGAGACTTATTAGTCAGGCTAGAGCAGAACCTGCTGTATCATTGACATTTACCTGCCAAAACCCAGTGTGCCCAGGACACCAACATAACTCTGATTACTTGACAAAAGCACCAGCAGGCAGCAGCTTACCCAAAACCAGAGTGCCTCCAGCTATGTAGCCAGAGATGAGCATTACACTGGGCCACAGGTTCACTACCAGATCTGAGATAAAACTACAAGCCATGAGCAGCCTACTATGCTCTCACTGTCATCTGAAGATCTCCCATGCAGGGACACATCTAGCTTTACCTGCTTAGCCTGCAAGATCAGCAATCACAGCTTCCATCTGTGCTCCCTGCATGCTTAAATGATAATATATTGCACCTGGGATGAACTTTGAGCTGTCCAGAAGCTACATCAGGTATTTGGAGAGTTGTAGCCACTGCTGCCATGTTAAAATGTTGCACATATTTACAACATAAAACGGTTTTGGCAGTCTCCATCATCAAATTTCAAGTCTGCATAGGTCAGGCACAGCTCACACCTACCAAGGGCGGCCCCCAAACAAAGCACACTGAAGCAGGAGCCTGCTCTACACTTTGTTAGGAACCATGGTATCAGAAATTGGAGCCTCAGTGTTTCCTGGCTCAGGGACTGCAGATCTAATCTATTCTGCTGAGCAGTAAAAACAGTGGTGGACAGTTTGCCCTGCCTGACTCAAAACTGGGCTGCAATATAGTTTATTGCAACTATATCCCATCACCTTCTACACTGAATTCCACCCAGCAGAGCTACATCTCCAGACTTCAAGGTAAGTAAAAGCAAGACTTTCAGCCCTGACTCTTTGCTTGACAAGGGACAGGAAGTATTGTCAGCATTCAGGCCTCTCAGAGGATGCTTAGAACAAATGCTTCACTTGGTATTTGCCACAGACTAGAGTCCATTAGACTGTCAGTTTGTGAGGTCTATGCAGACCTCACAGACAACTCCAGCAGAGGAAATGTGGCTTTTTGAAATGGAACAAATCCTCCAGCCACACTCTCAGGTCCCAATGGAAAACTTACTTCTCTCTGATGGGGTCGTAAAACACGGCTGAGGACAGGATCCACCACAACATGGACAGGTACCTTGTCCCTGCAGGAGGCAGTCAAGGAAGAAGAGAGTGTGATTGAGGAATTTGGCACATGTTTAGGCTTTGTTAATTCTCACTGCTATACTGAGGACTCTCCTGTGGCACAGGGAAAGCAACTTCAAACAAGAAAGTGAAAAATTGATTAATTCAGCTTTGAGAATGAAGTTAGAGACCTGCCCACAGTCTGAAACATCAGTGAAACCATGTATGTGGGCTGTGGTTAAAACAAGGGCAGAATGTGGTTCAGAAACACAGTTAAAAAGTCAGTATTGTTTTTCTTGTTTCTATAACAATATCGTAACTAAATTTCTAGAGAAAGAAACCCCTCCCTCTATCCGTGAAGATCCACTTGACAGCTTTTTTAAGTTATAACAATAGCACAAAAGAAACTACTTCAGAATACAAACCAGTAGGCAGCCTAACATTTGACAGTCATCCCCCTTTGCTTGTCCTTAGATGCTGATGTTTCCTGACTAATGACTAAGCCATGAGATTTTCTAAGCAGTTTCTCCATGTGTGTATGCTCATTCCCTGCAACAGGTTTAAATTTTTGATGCATGAGAGATGGAACAGTCAGTAAAGAACACAAACAATCTAGCATGGGTACATTCCTTCTTTGACTGTAGCCATACCTGAACCAATTCAGGCAGAATACTTGGAATCAAAATCCCCTTGATGTTCAGACCCCAGCTCAAACACATTTGGGAGAAAAGCACATAAACCTACACCCAGAAAGAGGTCAGAGCTGCAGCATTCATGCCAGGTGATGACTCACTTGTCTATTTTCAGCTGGTCATGGGCACTCAGCACGGGGGGCTCGTACAGAACCAGAGCTCCCTCCTCAAATGGGTCATGGAGAGGACCCCTCAGTCCTGCCCGTTTGACTCCCAGTGAGCGCAAGCCCAGGGGCCCTGAAATGGAACAAAGGCACAGCTCAAACAACAGCATCTTCCTGGAAGCAAGCAGAGCCTGGCAGCAGAGTCTGATTACACTTAGGAACAGTGAATTAATTGGGTGCTGGAGTGGAGGTGCGTGCTCAGCTGGTGCACACAGCAAACCTAAGCAGGGCCGTTGTTTGGGAGCGCAGTGGGAAGCTCTGCAGCAGGAAAACACAGAAGCAAGGAGCAGAGGCAAAGAGGGAGCAATGGCACTGCTTACCCAAGGTGGTGGTTCTAGTTTTTTGAAAGCCACGGAGGGTTCCAGAATGTACATGTCAACAGCCCAACAAATACACTCCTACATACAAAATATGCTGGGTGAAATTCTCTTTTGGGGTCACCTAGACTTAGCTAGAGTTATAGCTTTGATGCAAGGTCAGGAACTGATCTTTAACAGTGATGAAGTTCTACAGCACCACAGCCAATTTCATATTGTGACTACCTTCTCTGGGGTATTATTTTCTCTCTGCTGAGCAATAGTAGATGTTTGGCCTTGGAGCCAATTTCTGTGAAAAGCAGAAACCAAGCATGAGTCCCTTTTCCTAGTACTGTGTTTTGATGTCAGAGTTTTGAAATAGAGATGAACACAAGAACATACATAAGAATCCCTTTTCCCATCAAAACTCAGGCAACTGTGCTCCCAGGATTGATTTTGCTCAAAAAAGACTCAATAAGTCTATTTGTCCACTGTTTACTAAAGCTCCTTGCAAAACAGGAATGTACCACAAGCTGAGGCAGCAATGCACAAACAAGAAGAAAGAAAGAACACAAGAAACATCCCCTTTTACCAGTTAAGAGAGCAAGGTAACAGACACAGAAAGCAGCTTTCCCAGTTACAGTTCTGTTTGAGCCTTCTGACAAATCTGCTTCTGCAGAAGCAAGCTTTGCCAAACTCTTCTGGGGCTTGTCATTCCATATTCAGTGGCTGCTGACAGACATTTTTATAACTAAAGTTTGAGTGAAATTGGTTGCTCTGCATTCGAGTTTTTCAGCTGGAGGGTGAAGGGGAAGCAGGGGACATGAACAGGCCCATTTGTTTCTGAGATCTTATGTTTCACTGATTTAAACCAGCTGAGGCTTTGAACTTCAAAACAATCTCGTTTTGAAGATCACCTTGAGGCTCAACACTCCAAGCCAAGTAGAAAGAAAACTGGCATATACAATCTTTTTCACCACAGCCTTCTGTCTGTTAGCATCATTATTTAAATGATAAACCTTCGTGGCTTGGAATTCATTTTGCTTTTGTATTTGTGATACAGTGTAAAATCTCCTGGCACTACATCAAATACATAGCACTAAGACTATAAAATCCAATTCTGAAATGTAGGATTATCCAAACTAAACACTAGTAAGAAATATGAAGACTTTGCTAATATGCCAGTATTTTTCTTTCAAAATTAAGTCAGGATATCTGGAACATATGCATCAGTGCAAAAAATAACAATAATCCCCACAGATATATTTGACAGGCCTAAGCATCATCTGTTTTACCCGAGTCAGCCAACACAGACAATCCTTAAACCTCCTCATCTTACCTTTATAATTTGGAATGGGGACTTTGAAGGGTTTGGACAAAATACTGCGGATAAAAGCCTCCTAGGAATTCAGAAAGAAAACACATTTCAAAAGTCTGAAATCAGAGATTGCTCAAGAATGCAAGTCCAAGAACTCAGTTTTGCCAAGTACTCAGAGTCCCTCTATTTAATCCACTCAAGCTTCAACTCCAACTACTTTCAAGACTATCCAAAAGGAAGAAAGTCACAATTCAGCACAATTTCCTCCACCACTTCTGCTTTTCAAAACTATTTTCATTTGGGTTTTCTAATACATGAAATTGATTTTTCATAGCTCCCATCTTCCTAAATCCACTGGCTTTTCTCACTTCTTTAAAACGTATTGCTGCCCCCGCCTTGGTAATTTAGTCAGGGAGCTCATTTCCCGTAAAGGAGCTGGGTTACCACTGCAGGGACATCCATGCTGGATCAGCAAGCACCCAGCTAGTCCAGCACCTGCTCTCCAGCAGTGGAAGCCCAGAGAGAACTGGGCAGGCAGTCAGCATTTGACCCACCTGGGTGTAAAGCAATTGACACCTCTGGGTACTGTCCTTCACCTGGGCCTCACAGAACTCCCTCATTCAGGATTTCCACTACAGCAAGCTTGCTCAGCACAGCTCCTTCAACAATAAAGGGCTGGACCTGGCAAAAAGCCTCTCCAAAAGACTTTGTGTCTGCCTAACGCCTCAGTTTAAAAGGGGCCACGGAGGGACTGGGAATTCCTTGCTGAGTGAGCAGTGTGTGTAGCAGCAGCAAGCCCACTCACGTGCTGACTGCTGTCCAGGCACTGGGGTCTGTTGGTCAGCGGAGCCAAGGGTTTGCGGAAAGGAGACCGGTAACACTCTGCACTCTCTGCCTCAGCAGCCGCCTTCTGCCTCTTCCGGCCCTGGAACACAGAACAGAACCAAACAGCTCAGGGGGAGCAGAGATGCTCTGCAGCCATGCTCAGAGGATGCTCTGCAGCCACGCCCAGCAAGCACCAAAGCACACAGACCATCGCCCAGGCAGTGGAGCAGCACAGCCACCACTCACCCCCGCTGCCACAGGACTCACGCAGCAAGGTCACTGAACCTTGAAGTTTGATTTACATGAAGCTTAAAACATTGTCCTAATTAAGGAGATAACTACCACTTTCTGACCTGTAAAAGGGCAGGCTTGTGCGCACTAAGACTTGTGCTGTCCCGCCACTCAGAAACAAAAGTAGAATTAAGAAAAGGAAGGGTCAGTAGCATGGAACAAACTACACCAGAGTCCCCAGAGGCTCCATGGCACCTGGTGTTATGTAGGTGGAAGGCCTCACACTGAGCCCTTCATTTCAAACACTTAGAAAAACATGAAAATAAATAAGTTATTGATCTGTTTCCTGATTTAACAGAGTCCTCTTCAGTGTGAGGCATGGTCTCAACCACCCGCTGGCACAGAAAAATGGATCTGACACAGAAAACATTACGTGAGACTCTTTAACCTGTATGACATAGAACATTACTGTAAATTAGGATTAGGGCTGGGACTCCTGTTATTACAAATGCCTAAATGAGGTCTTTTATAGATAATCGCTGAAACTGATCTTTCCCCTGTCCTGTTACAAAAATATGTAACATTCTGTCTTGAACAGCCTAGTTACTGAGAGGAATAGCAGATTTGTCTTTCCAAACAAGCTGTGGGTCTGCTGGTAGATAAAACTAGCACTGGGAGATAAAAGAAACAATGGGAAGGATTCCACTGATTGATGAATAGAAAAGGATAATTGCGTTTACAAATAAACTTTAGGTTGGCTGATAAATGAAATTAGACATTGAGAGATGAAAGAAACAACGGGGAAGAAAAAACCCTAAATTCCGTAAGAATTAAAAATTAAAAGGGAGGGTTATACATTAGAGAGAAATCTTTGGTATCAGGCTTATTGGAGAGTCTGTACCTGTCAAGTACCTCAGCCAATAGGGAAAGAGAGAAGGGAAATGCGGCCGGGAAATTAAGATAAAAAAGAGGCTGCGTCCTCCAAAAATTTGAGAGATTCCAGGGGAATGCCCCATGGCCTCTCCCTTTATTCGAATAAAACCAGAAAAGACTCCTCTGTCTCCTTTTTGGACATAAACCTCTGGTGTTTGTAGATTAATTTTCTTAACATTACCCTTCCTTTCACACAGCACTCAAGGCTCTCACAGGGATAAGTTTTTCCACAACCACGAAGCACCATCTGTACTCAATGAAGTTCTTCCACCAGCCACACGCCGAGACACAAAGTTTCACGGCAGCACAAACGGGATGCCCACAGGATGGGGATGCTCAGGCACGGGGAGTGACTCGGCCGCAGCGCTGCCCCTCATCCCCCTGCCTACGGCTGCGGCGGGCTCGCACGGGGCCGGGAACACACGGGGCCACGTCCCGGCACCCCTCGCTCACCGTCGGGGGCTTCCAGTCCTCCTCCTCCTCTTCCTCATCTTCATCGCCCGCCTTCCTCTTGGCCAGCTGGCTGGGGGCCAGGCTCCTCCTCTGGAATAGAGGGACAGCACACACAGTGAGGGACCGGGAGGTTCCTGGCACAGACACAGGGAAAGGCACAGGCACAGATCCCCGGTCCGGTCCGGTCCGGTCCGGTCCGGTCCGGTCCGGTCCCCCCCCCGGCACCCACCATCGCCTCACGGGAGCGCGCGGACGCGGTAACGGCCCGCGCGCGCCGCTGGCGGGAAAACCTCCGGGCCGGCTCCGCCCCGCGCCCCCGCGCCCGAAGGCGTGACCAAGCGAGCGCCGAGCGGCACCAGAGCCGCATCATCGACCTGCTCGGGGCTCCGCGGAGGGAGCGTGTGGCGAAAAAATGCAATCCACTGATTTTATATATATATAGCAATAAGAGGACTTGAGATTTGTCATGAATTTCTGTGTCAAGTAAAGATGCTGGGAGAGAAAAAGGGGAAAAAAAAGTGAATTATTTTTCTGTCCAAAGAAAGGTCCTGTCCTCTTCAAGCAGGAGTAGCGCTGGCCCACAGAAGCTGCGCCACAAAAGAATCAGGGTGTGAGACTGTAGCAGGAATCAGTACAAGGAATAAGCAACTGAGCCATCAGTACAAGGAATAACTGAGCCATTTCTTTTGGCTCTTCAGCAGCTCAGGTGCTGGCAGTCAGGTGAAGGGAGCCATGTCCACACAAAGGTGTGAAGGCCAGAGCGGGGCCATGGCTGCAGTGAATGCTGGCAGCAGGAATTACAGCCCTGGCTCTTGTGGTGGGCACCCAGGAAAGAGCAGTGCAGAGGGGGAAGCTGTCCCTTTACAATTTTGCCTCAATTTGGCACGATCTTAGGTTATTTTGTGTGGAAAATGCATATTTTATGATTGGCTTTTCACAAATATTGAAATGAATATTATATGTGTTGTGTTAGAAAGTAATGCTGTATTAATTCTCTTAAGTAGTGTGTTAAATATAGTTTTAGGTTATAACATAATGTTAAAATAGAAACTATGCTGTATAGGATACTTTTTTTTTTGTCCTAAAGAAAGGACTCACATTGAGATAGCAGTCACAGGATACCTAAATCTTTCAGAGAAAGAAAATTTATTGCTCCATTATCAGGAGAAATTAACTTCTTCTTGCCTCACTCGGGCAGGATGATGCTGTTAGGATTATGAGGAAGAAGTTGACGATGACCAGACAGAATCCTGTGTTTGAATGGAATTTATGCATCCTGTATGAGATATATGAATATGCAACAGGCTGTTGTTTTTAAGGGTTAATCCTCTGTTAATGGGTGTCCTTTTTCAGGCTTATGCTGCCCAGAAAAAGGTACCCGGAGGTCTGTAACTCTTTGTTTCTATTGTCTCATATTGTCCTAATTCAAATTGTCCAAATTATTATTACTCCAATTGTATTACTATTTTTAGAACCATTTTATTACTATTAAACTTCTAAAATTTTTAAAACAAGTGCTTGGTGTTTTTCACATTTTGCGAGCTTCCCTGTTCTGACAGGTTTGACATTACCTGTATCGTGTATGACATGATGGCTGACCCAAAACCTCTGATTATGGGCCAGCATCATATTCTGCACCCATGGAACAAAGAGAAAATCCCTCTGGAGCGTCCTAAAGGGGATTTGTGAGGGTTCAGGGCAAAAAAGCAAACTCAGGGCAGCAGCAATTTCAGCGTGGATTTGTTTTCGTTCCAAGAGAAGGGCGGCTGGTCCTCAGGAAGGAGCGAGGCTGTGGCTGCTGCAGGGATCACAGCTGACATGATAAATGAGGGCTGGTGCTCAGCAAACAATTTAAAGGACAGACTTTTACAGGGTGCAAAACCTCAGCGTTTTGGAGACACACGGCTAAATTATCCTTCTGGCTACACAGGGAAAACCCCAAACAATGAGCCAAGTCCTCTGACACACACAGTTAACCCTTCCATTGCCGGATAGGAAAGGCAGCTCCTCAGGGTGAGATTCCCGCACAGCTTGTGGGGAAGAGGTGCTGCTGGCAGGTCTTGGAGCACATCCCCCAGAGCCTGTGGGTTCCTGGAGGCTTCAGCAGCTGTGACAGCATTAATAGATCTTGGGAAACCTGACACATCTCCAGACATTGTCCATGGATCACCTTGGGGCAGGCCTTGGTGGCCTTTAGTGCAGTCCAGCAGAGCAAACATATCCAACACCCTGCAGCTCTTGACAGGACTTTGTCTTTTCTTCCTCCTCCAAGGAGGAAAACAAGAAAGGGGAAGGTGGAGTTCCCCTTTGTTGGTTGTTTCACTGGTAAACTTGGGAAATAAATGCAAGAAATTACTGGTGCCACAGCTGCCCAGCTGTATTCTTAAACATCAAGAAAGAACCTTTGGCAGTGTCCCCACCTCAGTTACAGCCTATTTCACTATTCAGTTTATTAAACATCTACACTAATACTGTTATGTACCTTTAAAACATAAAATAAAGTGGATATAAGACAAAGCCAAATTCTTGCATCTGTAGGACTTGAGGTGTAAGTGGGCATAGATCACCCCCTGAATATCTAGGGGTGATAGGGTTAAGGGCCTTAACTTTACTTTTTTTCCCTGTCTTTTTCAAGTCCATCCATTTACCAGTATTTTATTCCCAAAGCTCTTTCAGAGCTCCATGATGAATGTCAGATATTGCAATTACTGGCTCACTGGGCAGAGAGTGGTTTTATAGGAAGGTAATTGGCTATTTTTCCTGGCATGAATAATATTCACAATAATAGCCTCCCTCTCCATGGCTCTGAGAGCAGTTCTGCTGTGTGCTTTTTTTCCCTGCAATGGGAGCAGACACACTTTATGGCCCAGGCCAGGCTGGGTCAATAATAAAGGGAAGGGGAGGCAAAATTCCTGCTCCATGTAGAGCAGCAGGAAAGGTCTTAGTCATCTTACACCCAACATAGAACTGCTGTGGGTTCCATCCTGCAATGGCTTTTCTCTTCTAACCATTCATGACAAGTCCCAGAGGGAAATTTGTGGTGATGCCAATGTCTGAGTGCAGCCAGTCCCCTCGTAAGGCAACCACACTGCAGGCCTGGGGCAGGGTGGACATGCAAGAATGACTTTCTTCACAAATAAACTGAGGTCCAGCAGAAACTAATAATTTGTTCTTTCTTCAGAAGCGAAGATCGAAGGTCTTGCACAAAGCAACAGGAGCAGCCAGGACCAGGTCAGGGCTGTGGGTCCCAGGACAGCCACTGCTCAGCTTCTCTTTCCCACTTTCCAAACCAGCACCTTCAGGCAGAGGTTAAGTCCTCCCCTCTTCCCTTCTCTAATTACACAATTTACTCCTTTTCTACTGTAATCAGCTCCTATTTATACAGCCCTGAGAGATCACAGGATAATCACCATGGGGAATAATCCTGTCATTTCCCTTGCTGTCTCTGCAGGATACTGAGTCCCTCCAGTACAAGCAAGGAGAGGGGAGGATGCCAAATATCTTCCTCAGAGACTCTAGAATTAGGCAAAAAAGCAGTTAAAAAATATTTATTGTTTATATTGTTTGTCCACATCAAACAGAGCCTGTCTTCCAGTCATCACCATGGTATGAGCTCATGGCACTCCCTGGGACCAGCCACCACCACATTCCCCTGAGACCACTGTTACACTCACATCCTGTGGATGCTGTGGCACTCCACTGACCTCCTTGACCCATGGGATCTCCCTTCTTTTACACCCTCCCCCTTTTTTTCTTTTATTTTTGAGGCTCCTTCCTTTTCTATGGAATGCAGGCCTTCCCCTGCATTCCCCAGAAATGTTCTTCACAGAAATTTTAAGAAATGTTTTGGAAGAACTTGGGCTTCTAACCCAGCTCTTCACAGGTGAGAGAACTTGTGACCTTTGTAGCAGGCAGAAAACAGCATGAGGAGAGATACTATAAGAAAATATCTCCTAAGGGAAGGACACCTCAGACCTTGTCTAACAGCTCCAGCCACTCTGCAATGGAAAGGAGAGGCGAAAATCTGTAATTATGACCAGAAGGGCAGAGCTACAGCCTTAACAAAATTCAGTAGTGCCACCTGGATCTTCTCAGGTGAAGCTCGGAAGGGACCAGGACTGCAGGATGCACCAGCATGGCTTGATCATATTCACTTGAGAAAGTAATTAAATATCCTTCCAGTTAATTCCTTTGCAAGCCACGAGAGGGAAACTGACTATGATCATACAAAGTTACTGCCAGCTGGAGTTGTGATCCCATCTCATCACCACCAGAGACAGCTCATCTGCCCTTCCAACAGAGCCACTTACTGAGAGGGAAAACACCGAGTGCTTTGAAAACATTCACTCCAGGGAGAGAAATCCTTTTCCTTTCTGGAGACCAGGTGCCATTCTACACCCAGGCAGGTCACGGGCTGGAAGGAGGCAGGAGATCCCAGCACTGCTCCTGGCACCTTGGCATGTTACACCCAGCAGAGCACAGTCAGGAGCCCAGAGCGATGTGAGTCAGCGCTGATCCACATCCCACCCCCAGCCAGTCTGGGTGCTGAGCTGGCACAGCCTCCAGCTCTTACAGCTGTGCCTGGCAGGGAAGGGCTGACCTTCATCCCACCTCTCACCCCTCCATCACCCACTGCAGCCAGGCACAGCCAGGCACAGCTCTGTGTCCCTTGGCAGGGTGGCGCAGCTGGGTGACCCTGTCCCAGTCTCTCTGGGGGCTCCTCACCTCAAACATTACTGTTTCTTTTGGTTCATTTGACTCCTGTCCCTTTAGCTCCTCCTTATTACTGTTAGAAGAGAAAAATAAAAATCTTTGCTAATTGTGTTTATTTACAAAAAAGGCAGGCAGGAAGGAAGACGTGCAAAATCCTATTTCCTTAAAGCAGCAAAGGAAAAAGGAGCAGGGGAAAATCTCTCTAGTGAGCTCTGAGCCCCAGAAATGCTGCAAGCTCACTTTCTTCCTCATGGGTTTGCTTCATCCCTCTCCAAATACCTCCTTGTCCCTGTGCTGGAAATGGAGGACAGAGACCTGCACACCATGCTGAGACACAGGCCATGGCTTGAGAATCATGAGAGGGAGAAGGGACCAGTGGCACAGAGAGAGGAGGAGAACATGGGAGCAGTGGGACAGCAGGAAGAGGGATGGCCTCCAGGTAGTGCAACAACTTCCTCCAGAGGCAAAGCCCTGGGCTTCCTCCTCCGCCACTGCTCCTGCATCCACCATTAATCACAGTCTCTGGCACTAATTGCACATTAATCAGCTGATTCCTCTTCAGGCTTGTGACACTGGCTGAAAAGTACCTGTAAACAGAGGCTCACCCACCAAGTGATATCCCCTCACTCAGAGAAAAACCATCAGCAGCTTGAG